CAGCGGCACCTCGCAGGTGGGGCTGGCCGGGCGCTCGCCTCGGAGAAACTTCCCGCCGGGCAGCGCTCCGCAGCGCCGTGCTTAAAAAATACTAGCGAGAGGGAGAGATACGCACAGGGAGGGAGGGTGACTGGCCACAGCAAATCGTACATTTAAACAATGACATAGTTTTTCCACTTCGTTTGGCAAATTTTTCCTCCCGCAGCCCATCCCTCCGTCGGTCTCCCTGCATTAGCGAACAGGTTCAGGCGGCGCTGGGAAGGGAGCGGAGCTTCTCGCCTCTCACCACACAAACGGCTGCGGCCGAGGGGGTTTGAACGTCGACTTTCCAGACCGAGCTTATTTTCCGTGAGCTGAGGTGGGCTTTTTCCCCCTCGCTTCTTAAATAACGAGGGTGGTCCCAGCATACTCTATATCGAGACAGCTTTTCATCAGTTGCTCATCAGCATGCTAATTGCTGTATGACTAATTATGCCCTGAATTCCAGTTGATTTTCTTAATGAGACAGCTGGGTTAATTATGTAATCGTATGATTACATTAGCCTAGAGTGCCCTGGCGAAAAGTAACGCAGGCAGGAGCGTGATGTCATTGCACGAGCAGCGCTCACAAGGGGGTGCATTCATTTCTGCCTAATGACAGGGGAGGGCAACGGTACCCACAGTGCTCTTTGTGTAAACACTTAGATTGAATTATTAAGATCTGTGTCTTTTTCCAGCTCCTAGAATGAGGGAGGAATGGGGTTTTTTAAACGACGCTCACTTTGGAGAGTCAGCTGGTCATCAGTAGTCCTGGTTTATCTGCGGGGTTGGGGCTGGGTTTGGGCTGAGCGGCGTGGGGTTGCGGGTGGTGAGGTGCTCCCTCTAGCTAGTCGTGTAATGCCCTGTTTTGGCGAGATCCGTCTTTGTTTTAAAATTGGAAAATAATGTAGTTTACATGCATAAGCAGCAGCAGCAAAAAAAAAAAACAAAAAAAAACTGGTTCTCTTGTGCTGCTATTCAAAAAAGATTTATCGTCAGGGTATGTATATGGTGTGAGAACGGTCTGAGAGGTGTTGCTGTGGCTGCGTTGCACCAGCTTGTTTGATGTGAAGTATTAACTGCTATAAAAATTACGTTACGTTTGCAACATTAATTTTTCTCACGTCTGTGTTCATTCAGACATGTCCATCCACCTCCTTTGTGAGGATAGAAGCTCATCTGCAAGGGGACCGGTGTGGTGTGTCACAGTAATGAGCGCAGGGATGTGCCCAGAGAACCGCTCGTGAAGCGGCGCTGAAAGGCAATTCATTGGGAAGTAAAGGCAGGAACAGGCTTCGCAGACACTGGTTTTAAAATACCGCAGTTACTGTTTCTCCCTGTGGTAGCGTGGAGGAAGCCTTATCAGGGATCGGATCCAGATGTGCTGGGCTGTGTACAAACACATGGTGCGCGGGGCTTCTTTGTGGGTACGGGATGCAACAAGTGGGTTAGGAAGGCAGAACAGAATAGGAAGCAGTAGAAAAAAATATACCAAATCAAGTTTAAAAATGGACGTCTCAATTTACTCTTGGGCAATAATGATCTTGCAAAACGCTTTTTCAAGTTCTGGATGATCAGATTCTTTTTACCAATTTTCTCATTTCTTATTTATCTTGTGCCTGGCAGGAATTCTGAACTTTTGCAAGCTAGGGAAGATTCAAACCAAGAGAATAATTTCTGATGAGTTTTCCACATCTAAGTGTTAAGTGAGATGATTTTTCTTTTTTGCAGACCTCAGAAGGGGCATTTCCTTGTTTGCCTCTCTCCATAAGCTAGTGCCACTTGATTTTTCTGAGATGTGTATGCCTGTTGTTTGTGTAATGAATCGAAAGTTTTGGTCCATTGCTTGTTTAAAAATTCAGTGACCTCCTGTTAAATGACATGAAACATACTTTGTAAGTCTGGTTAATACAAAAAGGTATGCTTTTTCATGCATGCACGTGTTGTGAAAAGGAGAGTATTTTTACTTATTTTTAAATCCACTCCACTCAGGTAAGAAAAAAGTCGTTCTGATTTTAAGGTTTATACTTGTTTCGGATCAATTGGTGTTTATAAATACTTCACAAATCATGGGTTTTCAGGTTTTTTGAGATTAAAGAGCATGTTGGGGCTTGCCACGAGAAATGAAGTATTTGTGTCTCTGCCCAAAATGTCTTGGTCATTTTGTTGTCATGCAATGATTAGTTTTCTTTAATGCAGCTTATAAAAATTAAGTCTAAGAGGTGCTTCAGCCATGGGTTTTTTTCACGTGTCCTTCAGCAGTATTTAGTGGCTGCAGGCCATTAGTCCTTCAAATAGGCTCTAGTAAAGTTTGAAGTTTAATGCACAGAGAGACTGTTTTTACATTTTGTTTGTTCTGCCACTGTTTTGCTACTTGAACATTAACCTTTAATAGAGCTAAATTAAATATACATGTCCTGATGAATAATTATGAGATTGCAAGCATTTTCATTTTGTACATAAAGCTTCTCAGGGACTGCAAATTTGACTAAAGGTTTAGTCATTATTCACTTTATAATGCCCATGTTATTTTTGTCTTTTAATTCTTCGCTGATTTAAATATAAAAAGCCCTGTGTATTTGGAGCAAAATACCTCTTGTGGGTGTCCCGGCTTTTTACAATGGGCATGTTAAAACGAGGGGGGAAAAGTGCACCCACGATTTTGTAGAGTTCAGTTTCTTTCATTGTGGAATTTTAATGCTTATTTTATAGAAATATCATAGCTGAAGCTTAAGATCCCTGCCTGATATGTTTTGTGGTTCCTGTAACAATTTAAGACGCGGATTGAGACAATCCAGCCTTTCTTTAAGTTCAGCAGATGAATGTCCTGGGCTAGCTCTTTTGGAGAAATGCTGAGCTGCAGAAGTGTGACAAAATGGTCATTCCAGATAAAGGTCGGCAGACCTACATGAGAGAAGGGTGATGTTGTGACAGCCCATGCTGTAATTGGACCATACATAAATATTGCAAGGCCTTTAACTCGTGCTACTGCTGTGACTTAAACTTTCTATTTAATTCCTTACCTGTACCCCCTGTCTCTGCCACAATAACATTTTAAGTTTGATTTATTATAAATATTTTAACACAGATAATAATAACGAAAAGTATTTGGCCTAAAAAGCATAAATGAAAAAGCTATGTAGTCATAAACTATGTATGTACAGAGAACAGATGACAAGCAACCTAGATTTTGTATTATGAACAGGGTAATGCCATAAGCTGTTGAAGAACCGAAGTAACAAAATGCAGCAGGCTGCTACTTATAATGTCTCTGAGCTCAACATAACCCAGTACTATTCTTTTATAAACTATGAAACAACGCTGGCATATTGAAAAAACACACAGGCTCATGCTTAATGTGTTAACAGAGGTACAATAGACTTATTATGTGTTTCCAGAGACTGAGGGTGGTCTGAAAAATTAATGACTGTGGTGGTTGAAAATTAAGTGAACTCCCTAATATATACTGTTGTTGATCCACTGAGTTTGGTGTTTAGCATTCCTCAACAGGAGACTAAATCTTTGCAGCCATTTCACAAGAGATGCTGGCGCCCATAACAGAAATGTATTCAATAATCTTTTATAAGTCCATCGGACTCCAGCGTTTTCCTATTCCGACTGGGAAGAAGTCCCAGAATAAATCACATGTGCACACGTCAGGTGTGTGCTAAGGACTCTTTAGCAGAAGGGGACAAACGTCGGAGAATTAACACTGAGAGGACATTCAGAGTAATTTCTAATTTCTATTTGATTAATAGTATAAGAAAAAGAGGGAACAGGAGTCACAAAACCCAAGGTTCATGGAATTAATTACATCCACACAATACTTCTGATTATTATTGATCTGTCAATTAGAAAAAGTATAGCTCAGATCTCTATGATCAAATAATCTTTTTGAGCTCCGCTGTGGAGGAGGGCACAATTTGCTTCAGAAATTTCACTCCTGCAGAAGCAGAGGTGTGTGAGGGACACTAGCTGTCAGTAAGCCCTGCAGTTTCATTGCTTTTTATCCCAAAATTCTCATTTTGCAAACAAAAATTTGAAACCTGAGACTCCCACATGCCTTTGTATCATGACTGTCTGCACCCAGGGATACTGCCCTGTGGATTAACACCAGGATGAATAAGGCATGCCCCAATAAAAAGGGTAACATAGGTACAATGAACTATCTGTATTTTTTTAAGTTTGCAGGATATGAGGTGAGGATCATACAGGAATAATAACTCAAAGTAGGGCCTTACTGGCACATAAAATGGATTTTAATAGAGAAAAAAGGATACTTGTGCTCTGAACTGCTTGAGTCACGGGAGTGTTCCTGTTATCTTACGTTTTATTTTACTGTTTCTTTTTCAGATCCAGTTCCAGCCTTGGATTTAGGACAGCAGCTTCAGCTGAAGGTTCAGCGTATGCACGATATTGAAACAGAGAACCAGAAACTTAGGGAAACTCTAGAGGAATACAATAAAGAATTCGCCGAGGTGAAAAATCAGGGTAGGTTGCAAACGTATTCTTTTATCAGCTTTTAATGCATACTGAAATTTGAAGACAGGGATTAAATTAAGTTTTGTTTCTTACAGGTTGGGTTGACAGTAGCATTGCAATTCAGTAAAGAAAGTATAATAGTCTATTATAGCCAGTTCTGTATTTATACGTATAGATACAACTTTGGATAAACTCTTTGGATTTCTTTGGAAGTTTCATCTTCTGTAACACCAAGTCAGAGATTGGAGCTGTTATTCTGCATATTCGGTTGTAGCCTTCAGCGCTACCTGAAAATTACACCCCTGACTGAAGTTAGATTGTAGACATTTTATGAGAGACAGTACTACTACTGACGTCAAGCTGAATATGGGTGTGGGTGCTTGTAGTACATACACTTTGCACAGACAAACAGAAAAATCCAGTATTTTATACACACATACAAATCTGTACAAAATTGAACTTTTTCTGTACTCTCTTTTTCCTTATCTAAATCTGAAATGTGTTACTGGGGTACATTCGGCATACATACTTTATGTTTACTCTAGAGACTATCCATAGAGCAATGTAAATACTAATACTGTTTAATTATTTAGGTAAGTTTTAATGAGAGCAGAGTACATGAAAATACGTGAAAATCTCAATGAGATTTAAAGCCTGTTGTCTTTAAGACTGTTCAAGTTTTCTTGTGATTCAGAAGAAAGTTTCCTGCACCAGGAAACATAATCTGCTCAGTTGTACACCTACTTGCCTATACATGGGACTTCTCATTTCCATGTTTAATATTCAGTTCTGGGTGGTGGAAAGGTAAATTGTCTACATGTTTGGGAAAATGGAGATTATTTATTTATTTATTTATTTGTGTTATGGAACTGTTGCACCCAAGTGGGTAACATTTGAAAGCTACATTAGCAACTGAGTTGGTTCTGTTACATCTCATTTTCAGCAGAAGGAGCATATATGTAGTTACATATTTTGTTTTAACATAGAGGGTGTGACCTGTGGAGAGGACAGGTATCAGCATGCAAGGATTCAGGCTGGACTGCAAAAGATGTCATGTGGGAGCTGTAATGCTCTAAGCCCAACAGTATTTTTGCTGGAAATGTACAATAATTGCATTTCACTATGCATCCTGTACATCCAGGCATGACATAGGGGTTCATCCCAGAAAGTGGGAAAGATCTTGACTTCCAGAGTTTTTTGCTCCAACCACTCATAAACTGGCATTTTTTATCTTCCCTGGTGTGCATGAACTTCCTTTCTGGTTTGCCACTGCAGTCTTTGCATTGTTTTTCACTCCAGTGCAATAGTTCTACACTCTGTTTCAAACAGGGATTAATAAGATATCCAGGGAAAAGCCTGTTGTTAGCTAAGGGTGCTTTGATCAGTTAATCTCTTTGTTTGGAGGGCTGTGTATGAGCTATACGGTGCCTGTAAGAACTTCCAAAACTAGGATAAATGGCAGTGGCTAACAAGCTTTAGCTGACCTAACGGTAAAGAAAGCACTTAGTTCTTCAAGCAGTGTAGAGGATTAAACTGTGCTTGTCCAACACGTCTATTGTTAGGTGCCTAAAGGTAAAAACAGGTTTTGTTAGAAAAGTCATAATTTTTTCCCATATTCATGCACTTCTTGCATTCATTTTTGTAGTTTTGTTTCCTTTTAAAGTGAAACATTCAAATTTTGTCAAGATGCAACTATATGCATTTCAATGAGATTATTTCACTGTCTGCTTCTCCATATACCTGAATACTTTTGCAGACTTACATCTGAAAATACCTGGAGCAAAGGTGTCTCCTGTACAAAGAGTACATCCTTTGTACATATGAATGAGCATCCTTTTGTCTCTGTGAAGGAGCATCCTTTGCTTATTCAGGAAAAGATCAGGATTTGTATTACTTCCCGGATCTCAGAGAAGAATTTCCCTTTGCTTAAAAAAAAAAAAAAAAAAAAAAAAGTGACATGTCCTTTTCAAGGCCTATTACTCAGTAATGAGCCTCATCTGATTTTTGCATGGCTAGCAAAATCCCACTCCTTCATTCAAAAGTAGCTGGTTTGCTGGCAGTCATTTCTACCACTCTTCCCCCCGCTTTTTTGTGGTCACAGTGGCCCAAGCTGCCTTCGGTGTAATTCCCAGACAGCAGACCTTGTCACCCACTATCTACTGTCTGGCGTTACAGTTCTCTAGTCAAGTCTAAAAGTCTAGACTTTGGAATGATTATGCATGATTTTGTGTGATATTATTGAGATTTTTTTCCCCAAGTCCATAGGCTTTACTTTTCATAGTAGAGTTTGTCTTTCTATGATGTTTCTGCAGAATGAGAAACTTTTTATGTCCAAAGGTGTTTTTTCCTAAAGCATTGTTAATGGCATCTGTTAATAACCTGATGTCTTTAAACCTCCTCATCTCTGTGTAAGTACATTGAAATGTATTGCTAGCTGTGAGTCTTCTGGCAGTCTAACGCTTTTTCCAAATTCCATTATTGTTACAAAGCATACTCTGGTGAATGTCCTGCTTTTCCTCTTACGAGCCCTATAAGGATTCAGTCCTTTCCTGTGGGTGGGATCAAAGGGCTTTCATGTAGGAATGGATCAGGGCATGTAACAAGATGTTGTCCATCAGAGGCTGTGCCATAACTCCGCAGGTTTACGTATCTTCTCTCATCCATTACTGGCCACAGTAAATGCAAAATAGCCTCTTTATCTGAGAGAAGGGTTTCTACAAATTCACCGGAAGGCTACAAGTGTACTCAGAAAGTTATAATAGTTAATGCTTGTGCATAAAACCCAGTGCCGATGACAAGGCAGTTAGAACAACTAGAATATGAAGGGCTCCAGAGTGTCTGTTGAATCTGATCTACTGTTAATACAGCAGTTAAATCTTAACTGCCGTATTTTTCATCAGTTGTGAAGCAGAACATAGCTGTATCCCAGATATGTGTTCAATTAGTGTTAGATTGCATCTGTGCATGAGCCATAGTAAAACTGCCTCTTTTTACATGAGCACAGTTATGTGAATTAACTGTCCTATGTGTAAACGCATACTTAAACCTACACTGGGACTTTATTAATCTCCACTCAGCAGCGAGCTAATTTGAGACTAGTCAATACGGTGATATTATATTTTACAATTGATTTTTTTTTCTTTTTTTTTTTTTTTTTTTAAAGTCATGTTAGAGGAACCTTCTTTGCTGTGCTTTCCAGCAAACTCCATTGATCCTTCTCAACCTAAACACTTAAAGTTCAATTTAACATTTAGGGAGTAAAAGGTCTCCAAAGGGACTCATATCCATTGATTTTGTGTCAGAGTTGAAGAGCTAAAGTTTAAAACACACTGAGCCTACAGGGTAAAGAAAGCCTTGTGTTGTGGAACCACGTGGAGCTGTGTAAACTCATTCTTCCCCTATTGTTTTTCTGTAGAGGTTACAATAAAAGCACTTAAAGAGAAAATCCGAGAATATGAACAGACCCTGAAGAACCAAGCAGAGAATATAGCTCTTGAAAAAGAACAAAAGTTACAAAATGATTTCGCGGAGAAGGAGAGGTGAGTGTGCATATGTGCGTCTGTAGGTATTGTAGGGGAGGAGAGATGTATTCTTCTGTTTAATCTTCCCAGCCAGGACTGTCTCTCAGTGTACTGAGACAGCTCGTATATTGAGCGATTCTGGCGATTTATGTGTTTGACACGGAATCATTTGATACTCAACTTTGCACAGAAAAACAATCGTGAAAGTGTGGAAGTAAAACAAGGACAGATTGTTTCTTCGCGGTAGTGTTGTGTGGGGGCTGTCATGTTCAGAAGGGTGCAAACCTGCTTTTATTCTTCACTAGCTGTATTGTCCTTTGTGACACTAATCTTTCTCCATTAGCCGACAGCGTAATTCAGTCTGCTCTGTCCGCTTTGTGTGTCACAGTACCATTGTACAATCTGTACAACCCTGAGCTGTTTAAGATGAAACACTGTACCCAAGAGCCTGGGCAAAAGATGCATCACCCCTGCTCCTATGGTAAAATCTAAGAGAGGGGATGTGTTCCTGAATTATCCTGAAAAGGTTTGCATATTCCTACATGTCAAAATTAAGAAGTATTTTAATTATTTATTATTGATTTTTTGGAAGCATCTTGGATGCATTTCTAATCTTTTGCAAATGAGCAGGGAGTGTTTGAATCTTTCAGGTTAGTGGGCAAACAAATCAGGCAGGATGAGACCAAGGGTCTTAAGAGGGAGTTCTTTCAGTCTGCATTCCCTACCTTGAGAATTTATTTCTCCCATGGATCAATAACACTGAAGCTGTAATATGTTCAACTTAGTGTGGAAGCCCTTCAGTTTGCATGAGCTTTTTAGTTGGTGGGTTGGTCACTTAAATTCAGGTCTGAGTGGGAAGAATCTACCAGGGAATGCAAAGCTTTTTTTAATTCATCAATATCTGTGGTTACTTTTTGATAAGTAGCATGTAAGCAGTGGCTTTAACAAGTGCAATTTAGATATGCTTAAAAATAAAATAAAATGACAGGGCGTGGAATGCAAATAAAAGTGTGTAGAAGAGAGATTTTGAGTTCTCAAAGTATATAATTTGGTATGAAGGGAACTGACGCATGCTTCTTGCTATAAATAGTTATTAACCTGGTCACCAGTGTTGCAGAATAAATTTGTGCACCCTATGGAGTGCAAGTAGGATGCTGGTAGTTTCATAAGCCATTTCACAATTCTGAAATCTGCAGAATATCTTAAAAACAATGTTGTAAAAAGCAGCGACTCCTAGGAGATGTTGGAGCAACTCCCTTTCAGAGATGAGTTTTATAACTCCTGTAGTCTAGCCTTTAGCAAAGAGTGTAGTGACTGTAGTGCCAGATGATGTTAAAACGTGTATAACTGACACAAATGAGAAAATGTTGCCTGTGGACATAAGAAATGTGAGCATATTAAAGGTTTGCTCATGTTATATAGAAAATATCAATGTGAGATTTGTTTTGAAATATGTGTGGTTTTTTAAAGAGTAGCTAATAATATTGCTGCATTTGGCATCCATTACAGCTATGGTGAAACAGCTGCCGCATCTATTCACTATATCAGTTACGGCAACAAATTTCTTCATTATGACAGTAAAATGGAAATGTATCATTCTTCTTGTACTAACTTTGTACAACAGAGGGTGCTTGGTGACAATTTTCTTAATGTGTGTGACATTTCCAAAACAAATTATGCTCAAGAAAACCTTCCACTAAAGTTGTCATTTATATAGCAGTCAACTCTTGTATAATGTTCACAGCTTATGTTATGAGGTGGCTACACTGTTAAAATTTTAATAAGTGGGACTGCAAAGTATGAACAGTATTGCAATGTGACATGATTTATGGGTCCCATTGAAGCACCTTGTAGTCTGTGTGGTGTTGTCAGTTGTCTGATTACAGTTGAGACATTTAATCACTCCATCTTCCAAATTTGCAAAATACAAATAAGTTGTTTAACATGATTACGAGCTCTGTTCTCACCTCTTCTCTTCCCTTTATAGAAAATTGCAGGAGACACAGATGTCGACAGCCTCAAAGCTGGAAGAAGCCGAACACAAAGTTCAAGCTTTGCAAACAGGTTTGGCATCGCTATTCTGACCTATACCAATGATCAGGCTGGAGGTGAGAGGATAGAAATCATTAATGTATCAGGACTGTGTGTGAACCAGCTCTTGCAAGTGCAGAGAGATCCAACAGAGCCTGAACATGCTTTGTGAATCGGAGCTCCTTCTGGGCTTTGCACCTTAAGTGAACGTTTGTGTTGCAGCCAGTCTATTGGTAAATACAGTGGACAAGGCCAAGCATGAAGCACGTACAGTATTAGAGCATCGCTGCAATTAAAGCAGGCCATGGAACTTTTCATCCATGTTGTGTTTTGCTCTGGTTTCACACATTTCTGAACTATGATAAATACATGTAGTGGTCTGGGTTCAGTATGAACCCAGTTTCTACCAGTGTGTCTTGCCTGTTGCTATGACGTGCTTGCCATTAATTCTTATCTCTGCATACTTACAGACTCCAGGTCTGGACACATTTGGTTTTGTTTACTGTGAGAACACAAGAAATTTTATTCCCTGAATTACTGCAATAAATACTTCAAATGAATAAGCAGTTTAGCCAGCTTAATAAGAAATAAATAATGTCTAGCTTTGTTAAGCAGAAACTGGGAATTTTTGCAATGTAAAAGAAATACCATAAGAAATTGTGAATAATCAAAAGCTGTTTTTTCTAAGTCATAATGGTTTGCCTAGGTAGAAAGATAAAGCAGAGAATTTTTCATCAGGAGGTGTACAGCTTTATTTATGGCTGAATAAAAGAAAAAGGAGTAGTCTTTTTGCTTTTCACTGCTGTTACAGTGCTGTAATGCTTCATGTTTATGCCTTTTAGCCTTGGAAAAAACCAGAACAGAACTATTTGATCTGAAAACAAAATATGATGAAGAAACTACTGCAAAGTAAGATTTCACTGTTTTCTTTCTATGTCTTCCTTCAGGGTATCACTGCTTTTTTTTTTTGTTTGCATCTGTCTTGTTGGAGACAGATGAGATGGAAGAGGTTCAGGAGTCCAAATTTGTTGGAAAACATGGTCATAATTTGGCCTCCTATAGAGAGATACTAGTTTTCATATTTTCTTCCACCCAACAGGGCGCTTTTCCTGGCACATATGCTGCTCCATTCCTGGTTTCATTCTCAGGTGCTGCATCTACTATGTATCTCTTGTATTTTATTTAGAAATAGGGCAATTTCAGAAATAAGATATTTGCCATGATATTCCAATCTTGGTGAAAATAAAATTTATTTTAGTAAAGGATTTCTATTTCACTGTTAGGCACCCTGGTTCTTTCTGCTTTTGGGGTAGCAGTCATCCCTCTGTCAAATTCACCCCAAAGTACAGAGTGTAGCATTTTTGGCAGATTCTTCTTGTTTTAAAGTAGAACATGAAGGTGGTCTCAAGAATATATGTCCTTGTCTTCTTAATGGCTACTGTTTTCAATTATCCCCTGGTTTTGTTAAGAATCAGTGCAGGAAACAACAAAAGAGAGACAGACTTCTGCTGGTTTTCTTTGAACCCTTCATATTTAAGGAAAGTTAGTAATGAGAAGGAATTCTCATGATCAGCAGTATTAAGACCAAAGAGTCATTTCTGTGTCTGGAAATGGGGTGGGAAAGAAGAAGCCATTTCAAACGGGTGTCCCTGGCCTGCTGTAAGGGCAAGGGTTAGAAGACGCACGTCACATCCCTGCGCCCACTACCCGCGTCCCACAGAGCCCCAGCTTCACCTCTGCTTCCAAGTAGGCAGGTGATCGGCTGAACGGAGAGGAGAAGCCTTGCTTCTGCCCTTACCACCCATTCTGGTGCGGGAGGAATGGTAAGGGAAGGCTGTTGCCAGTCTCTGTTTTGGGGCAAGAGGAACTATAGCCTAGGCTTGATGGGAGGAATGACATAGTCTTGGTTTTGTCTGTAGGTAAGTGCTTTCTCATATGGCTCATGGCAGTCTAGATAATACGCGTTTTTCAAAACCAGTCAAATTGGCAAGTAGTTTTAATTTCTTGGCATGTGGTTCTGTAAGCGTTGAGGATCCAGTTCCCCACTGAGTGCATGGGGAATTTGGAGCTTACAAAATTCAGTCCATAGTAGTTAAGAATCAGTGCTTGGAGTTGAAGCACCTTTTTACATCATTCAAGATAATCTTTTAGGTAAATTTTGGGTTTGCTCTCTAAGTCCAGTTTCCTTTGAGTTCTGTATAAGGTGATAAAAAGTATTTTTTTTCCCTCATTGATTTCATCTGTCTCTAAGAGACGCATGCTAATGATGTTTCTGATGGAGCCTTAAATTACTGCAGATTGCTTTTTTTTTTTCCTTTTTTTTTTTGTCCTTTCTGCACGTAACTGATGCTGGCAGCTCTGCTGCTGTTATTTTGTCTTGCAGTTGCTTCTGTGGGAACAGTCAGAGATCAGGGCTCAGTGGTTGTAGGCACTGAACCTAATAACCCCTCACCCTTTTTAATATTTTTGTTTGCAGAATGTGTGCTTCATTTTTTAATACTATTTCCCTAAGTACGGTAATTTATCTTACACTGAGCAAAAGATGTACTCTAAAATGTTTGCTTGTGTTTCTAATGTGTTTCATTCTTTCAGAGAGATTCATGCGGAAATATTTTCATATGATCTTGAATATGATTCTTACCTAATATATATAGAATTACATAAAATTAGTAGCATCTGCAGTAACAAGTTTATTGTGTTCTGCAGCAGAACGATTATGAAGGCTGGGACTAGAATATAGTGATCATGGAGCTGAATTCTGAAGCAGGCATTAAGCATGTACTTTATCTCCCAAACTAATGTACTGTGAAAACAAACTTGTAGGACCTAATAACAGCAGAAATATTTTATCATTGTTTTGGATATTTATGGCAGGAATAGTTCTTGCATAACAACAGCCATCTGTGGCGTTTGTAGCCCAAATTTTGCAATATGGAAATCCAGAAAAACATGAAAAGGGAACTGAATGTAGACAGTGAAATTGAGTCATCTATTTTAATTGTAAAAGCTGGGAGAAATGTTGAAAAAACACCAATAAAAACGGTGAAAGACAGTTTGATTCTTTTCTAAAAAGAAACCCTCTTTTGATCTAAGTCTGAAAAGCTACTTGTATTGCCAATTTTAATTTTATGTTTTAAAAACATGTGATTTTTATCTTAGGCCAGAATTGTTAGTTTTACTGACGTTTATTTGATGCAGATGAATTGGAGTGCCTTCAGGAAAAAAAAGATAATTGTCAATTTTTTAAAGCTAACAGTGCTTTTAAGATTTTCAGTTTTGGAATAAAGCTGTCTTTCAACTGTTTGTAACTTTGAAAATCTTTCAAACAACAGAAAAAAGAAGCAAAAGAAATATACAGTAAGAAGTCTTCAGTATCAGCATTAAGGAGTCTAGATTTTGTCCAAGTGACTGGTTGTTGAGATCTTAAAGTTGGAAATCATTATGCCTACTTGTTTGTTTATCTTTTTAAAATGTCCCCGATCAAAATACTACATGCAAAGTGAGGTACGGAGATACCGTCCAAACTTGATGCTAGCAAGGCATCTTCAAATGAGATCGACTGCTGAAATTAAAATCTTCACTCAAATTAGCTTCTGTCATCCCAGTCTATAAAAATCCCCGGTTCCCTTTGCCAGCGAGCAGGTAACGTGTAAAGCGGGAGCAGAGGTGCTGCCCATGCCCCTTCCCCTGGCCCCTGCATCCTGCAGATAGCCCGCATGCAGGGCACTGAAGGTGTTAATGACAAAAAGAAGTTTATTATGTGCAGTCATTGCAGTCTGTCAGCTGGAATATCAGAAGCTGAATTTGACAAGATGGCAGCGGCAAAGTTTTCCATGTGTAGGCTTGAAGTAAAATGTAATTAGCCTTTATGTGCAGAACAAGGATCCATTGATGAATACAGCTGGTCTTTGTTTTCTTCTGTCATTGAGTGTGGGAGGTAAAAGTGTTCTTCTTCATGTTTATTAATACAAGATTCCTTAGACAAATGGCAAGCACAGTTTAATATTTGTTGGAACACAGAGGGGCTTGCCAAAACAGTTGTTGTGTAAGAGGATTTCAAGGTTTTCAGATTATAATCATCTCTGGGTTAAATAAATGAATGATTACTCTGCCTTTTTCAATTAAAGAGGCACATCCTCTCTCGAGGCCTGATACTGATTTTGTTTGCTGTCCCACACGTTTCTATCAGCAAACCTGGATTTAACCAACACTAATGAGTTTGATCTAGAGATTCTATCAGAGCGGGAACTGAAAAGCAAATTCAGACTTGAGTTTCAGGAAAATTAAAGAATGTTGGGGTTTTTCTTTTTTTCCTAGTGCAACAGACTTTTTTTTTTTTTTCTTTCTCTGTAGAAAAAGAAACGTTCTTGTATGCATTTCCATAGTTTTCCAGGGACAAACTGTTCTTGCTAACATTGCTCTTTCACTTCTGGTTTGCTGCAGACTCCGAGCAAGTGTTTGGGATTCCCAGCTGAGTGGTTAATGCTTCCAGCTAGAATGGTTGAATTCCAGTTTTAGATCAATTCCAGAGCCACCTCTTTGCTCCGACCTCTCCTCTCCCCCAACCTAAATGAATTCTAATTGGAAAAGGATCTTCAGTTGTAGCACATACAGTAGGCTTGTTACATTACTGTTAACATGTGGGTTGAGGCTCCCTGCCTTTGATGAAAGAAAATATCGAATTTCACTGAAATGCTACATTTTCACCAGTAAATGTTAAGTAGTCTTGTGAGGGTTTTAGGTACTGTCCTCCCTTCTGCAATAAAATGCCTTCATAAACAACACAAAACAAAAAATGTTTGGGTTAAGGTTGTTGGTCAAAGCAGCTCTGCTACCAATTTTGTTACCTATGCGATTTTCTGAAAAACGCAGACTTTTGGTTCTTCTGAAAATAGGGTTGGCATAGAAAATGCAATGGAGAAGGAGGTTTTCATATTTACTAAAGCAGTCATCCTAAACCAACTACTTTCAATAACTTGTAGAAAAATATTTTGCCTTCCAGTGTATGAAGCAGATAATTGTTGTCTTTTCATAGATCAGACTGATTTTTTTTTTTTTTTTTTTTTTTTTTTTTTTTTTTGCAACACAGCTAAGGATGGCACAGGAGGGCATATTGGTGTAGCGTCATTAAGACTGTACACTGGTGCAATATTGCAAATTACCCCACTGTATAGATCCAGCTGACTTATTTTAATCCTGGACTGCATTTTAATGAAAACTAAATCTGGAAATGAAAAGAGTGCGGTTGATGAAAGTGCGGTCTGCAAGCTAGCAGTCCCTGCTTTACGATAAAGGACAGTTTTTCATTGTTTTAGGGCCTGAATCAGCAAACTTGACGCACAGGATTTCAATATCAGTATTTAATACTCCTTTTCTTGCAGGGGTCATAGACCTCAGTCGGCGAGGCCGGGGGTGCCGGGGTGGGCACTGTGCGTGTATCTCTTACAAAGGCCGTCTCTGCCCTAAAGAGCTTACAGCATGATATCATGACAACGTAAAAGAAGTTAACAAAACAAATAGGTAGAGAAGCTCAGGAGTGGGAGGACAAAGTAAGGCCTGTTTTCATCCGTGTATCCTGCTTGAAAATAAATCCTCAAGTAATCTGCAGAGAGTCAGAGGTGGGTGACAGATGGGGAGTGCTGGGGCAGAGGCAGGCGGTGGTGTCAGGCAGGAGGGCGAGGGACGGCGGGGAGGTAAGCAGCTCCTCGCGTTACCTGCACGCGGCCGCACGGCACTCGAGTCTCCGGCTGCGGGGAAGGGAAGAGGTTTCGTGGATTATATGCCAAAATACAGCAACAGAAGGGGATGCCTGTGTTTTTTGGCTGTTTGGGGTGAAGCATGCTCTTCCTACTCATTATCGAACAGACCTGTTCATCAGATAGCAGTGCAGAATAAAGTTGTAAAGATGT